ATCGGGATACCATAGCATTTACAAGGTTTCGTGCCCCTTCCACCCCTCCAGGGAGGCCCCGCCTGAGCGAGCAGGGTAGTCGGCAACCATGCAATGTATCAGGCTTCGAGCCTATCCCACTCATCCAGGAAGGCCCTGTCTGAGCGAGGAGGGTATTCGAACACCATGTGACTTATCAGGTTTCGTGCCCCTCCCGCTCCTCCAAGGAGGCCCTGCCTGAGTGAGGAAGGTATTCGAAAACCATGCTACGTATCAGGTTTCGTGCCCATTCCACTCCTCCAGGGAGGTTTCGCCTGAGCGAGGATGGTATTCGAACGCCATGTTATTTATCAAGTGTCGTGCCCTTCCAGCTCCTCCAGGCAGGCCCCGCCTGAGCGAGGAGGGTATTCGAAAACCATGCCATGTATCAGGTTTCGTGCCTTCTCGCTCCTCCAGGGAGGCTCCGCCTGAGAGAGGAGGGTTTTCGAAATCATGTGATTTATCAGGTTTCGTGCCCGTCCCACCCCTCCAGGGAGGCCCCGCCTGCGCGAGGGGTGTTTTCGAACACCATGCTAAGTATCAAGTTCCGTGCCCTTCCCGCTCCTCCAGGCAGGCCCCGCCTGAGAGAGGGTATTCGAAAACCGTGCTATGTATCAGGTTTCGTGTCCTCTCGCTCCTCTAGGGAGGCTCCGTCTGAGAGAGGAGGGTGTTCGAAAACCATGTGGTTTATCAGGTTTCGCGCCCGTCCCACCCCTCCAGGGAGGCCCCGCCTGCGCGAGGGGTGTTTTCGAAAACCATGCTAGGTATCAGGTTTCGTGCCCTTCCCGCTCCACCCGGGAGGCCCCGCCTGAGCGAGGAGGGTTTCCGAAAACCATGTTATGCATTAGGTTTCGTTACCCTCTTCCGCCCGTCGAGGGAGGCCTCGCCAGAGCGAGAGGGGTATTCGCAAGCCATGTTCTGTATCAGGTGTCGTGCCCCTCCCACTCCTCCAGGGAGGCCCCGCCAGAGCGAGGAGGGTGTTCGAGCACCATGCTCTTTATCAGGTTTCGTGACCCTCTTCCGCCCCTCCAGGGGGGCCTTGTCTGAGCTACGAGGGTACTCGCCAACCATTATATTTACAAGGTTTCGTGCCCCCCCTCCAGGGAGGCCCCGCCTGAGCGAGGAAGGTATTCGAACACCATGTTATGTATCAGGCTGCGTGTCCTCTCCACCCCTCCAGGGAGGCCCCGCCTGAGCGAGGAGGGTATTCGAAGACCATGTCATGTATCAAGTTTCGTGCCCCTCCCACCCCTCCAGGGAGGCCCCGCCGGAGCCAGGAGTGCATTCGAACACAATCTATTCATCAGGTGTCGTGCCCCTCCCAATCCTCCAAGGAGGCCCCGCCTGAGCGAGGAGGGTATTCGCAAGCCATGTTATGTATAAGGTGTCGTGCCCCTCCCACTCCTTCAGGGAGGCCCCGCCTGAGCGAGGAGGGTATGCGAAACCCATACTGTCTCAAGGTTTCGCGCCCATTCGCACCCCTCCAAGGAGGCCCCGACAGAGCGAGGAGGTTGACCCCCCCACCTTCCATGCCATACTTGCTTTACCGCCTTCACCTCCATCGCCTTTTCTCTGTCCTCTGTTCCTCCCTCTCCCCTTCCATTGTTCCCTTGTCTTTCCTCTTCCACTTCCGCTCCGAAAAGGGGGCAATGTCGCAAGAGTCTTGCATGCCATTCGATAGCGTCGCTCTCGCTGCGCCTGTCTATCCATCTTCCTGCACCTTCTGAGCCCCCCCTGTAAGTCTGCGCCCCAATACATATATATATATATATATATATATATATATACAAGTGGCACGTGTGTGCCCAGGCTCATACAACAAGCTGAAGGGGCGTTTGAAGCAGGAGTGACATGCAACAGCGAAGTCGCACTCGAGCGCAAGTGGGGTTGCCACACCTTGCGATGTGTGTACCAGGGCCCCCCAGGAAGCCTCAGGAGGCCCGACTTGGATACCAGAAGAGGCTCCAGGAGGCCCCAGGATTGTGAGTGTTGTGTGTGTGATGTGTGCTTTGTGTGGTGCGTGCTTTTTGTGTGTTGTCGGTGTTGTGTGTGTGTGTGTATGTTATGTTTGTCTAGCGTGTGATGTGTTGGGCGTGATTTGTGTCTCTGTGTGTGCATGTAGTTCTGAAGCCCCAGGAGGCCCCAGGAGGCCCCAGGCGGCCTCAGCAGGCCCAGGAGAACTCCAGGAGGCTCCGAGGCGGGGTCTGGGGTACCAGAAGGTCCAGAAAGCCCCAGGAGGCCCCAGGAGGTTCCAGGAGGCCCCCAGGAGGCTCCGAGGAGGGGTCTGGGGCTCGATTTTGGGAGGATGTCTCAGGCGAAACCGCCATTCTCTGAGAATCGGGGTCAACATTATTGAAATTACCATGTGTTTTTGAAGGTTTTATGTTAACATGTTGAAATTCCTATGTGTTTTTGGACCTCTCCTTCACGATCTGCGTGAGGGGTGCCACCGATTTTCAGAATTTCGAGGATGTCCCGAGCGAAACGGCCAGAAAAATCAAAGACGGACGCACGCACGGACGCATTAATCCGCTCTGAGCTCTACTCCCTCGGAGAGGTGCGTATGAGAATACATATATATATATATGTATATATATATATATATATATATATATATAATATATATATTCACATATATATATACACACTATATCTAAGCCATGTGGGGAACTCTGTTAGCATGATTTGTAATTGGCTTGATCTTGTCTGGGATTGGGGTTGGCGTTGGTGGGGGGTGCTCGCGTCGACGTGGAGGCCAGATGTCGAAATGTTAGCTGGTGAAAGCTGGAGGTCAGTGGGTGGAGATGGAAGTGGAGCTCGGGTGCTGGATGGTGGAGGTCCGAGTGCTGAGCTGGTGGAAATCGGAGGTCGACAATCGGAAGAGGAACTGACAGGTCGGTTGCGGGATGCTAGAGAGCGCAGTGCTGAGCTGGTGGAGGCTGCAAGTCGATGGGTGGAGGTGGAGGTGGATGTGATAAGTCGGCGGCTGGAGGCCAAGATGTCCCACTGGTGAAGGCTGGAGGTCGATGGGTGAGGTGAAAAGGGAGGTCGGATGCCGGATGCTGCAGGTCGGAACGCCGAGCTGGCACAAGCTGGAAATTAATCTGTGGGGATGGGGGCGGAAGTGAGGTGCCAAATGCCGGAAGTCGGGGTCGGGGTGTTGGGCTGCTGGACGCTGCCGGTCAATGGGTGGAAGTGGAAATGGAAGGTCGAGCGCTGGGTCGAGGTCGAGGCTGCGCTGGTAGAGGCTCGAGGTCGAGAGGTGGAAGTGGTAGTGGGATGTCGATGGTGGGTGCTGGAGGTCGGGGTGCTGACTTGGTGGGGGCTGCAAGTCGATAGTCCGAGGTGGAAATGGAAGGTCGGTTGCTGGATGCTGGAAGTCGGAGTGCTGAGCTGGTGGAGGCTGGAATTCGATAGGTGGACGTGGAAGTGGAAGTGATAAAATCGGTGGTTGGAAATCAAGATGTCGGAGTGGTGGGGGCGGGGGGTCAACGGGTGGAAATGGACATGCAACGTCGGATGTCAAGTGCTGCAGGTCGGAATGCTGAGCTGGTAGGGGCTCGAAGTCGATAGGTGTAAGTGGGAGTGGTGAAGCGGATGCTGGATGCTGGAGGTCAGAGTGCTGAGTCGTCGGGGGCTGGAGGTTGATGGGTGGAGGTGGGAGTGAAAAGTCGAATGCTGCATGCTGGATGCTGTGGGTCGGAGTGCTGTGCTGGTGGAGGCTGAAGCCGATAGATGGAGGTGGAGGTGTAGACTGGAATTCGATCGGTGGAGGCTGGAGTTCGATAGGTGGAGGCTGCACGCGTGGCGAAGCGGCGCTCCGAACTGTCAGGCGTTGGGGGTATCAAACTTCAAGAACAGCCCTCGCGAGACCAGGGGGCCCAGGGGTTCCTCCTCGTCAGCGTTCGCTCGGATTTGCGGGCCGAATCTCGTGGCATTTTCGTTTTGCGTTGCCGCGCGGCTCGTGGCGCTGTCTAGTACGTCTCCTGTTCTTTTTTGTTCTACGTGGCCAACTGGAGGTCGAAGCGGGAAGTCAAATGCTGGGGGCTGGAGGTCGGATATTGGAGAGGCCGGCAGAACCCCTTGTGGTGCGGTGTGGCATGCAGGATGTTCGCACCGCGCGTTCGCAAAAGTGTTACTGCTATTGGGTCAGCGGTAACTCGTACTATCACGCGGCAGTCGTCAAGAAGTTACTCGAGCGAGGACCACCATGCTGTGTCCGCCGCAGTTGTGAGCCATCTTACGTCGTTGGTGTCGCAGTGGGGGCGACGTCGTGGTTAGGTGGCGTCGTTGGCGTCCCGTTGCGAAACATCTTCACCAACATGTTGATAAACATTGTCCAACATCTTCCGCACGTAGTCGTCTCACCATTTGTGCTAACCGCCGTGTTGCCAATATCCCCGTTGCCTCGCGTCCAAATTCGGACTACAATGCAATGATCTCTGTGTCCGCTTGCTGGGTGGGTGGGTGGCTATACGCGCTGGCTTCTGCCAAACCATTTTGCGATGCATCCGCGCCACGTCCGAGATGTCGTGCAAAATCAGGAATTCCTCGGCTCTGCGGGTGCTCCGGCGGATGTAGTCGGACCATAGTTCGGCGTCGTGTGCTGTCTGTCGTTGGGCCCGCGTCTGTTGAGATGTGTCATTGCCGCCTTCGCTTCTTGGGGGCGGGTCCGTTGGAATCGGCTGGTACAGGAAGGGGGTCTTCCGATATGGATATGGTCGGAGGAGGGAGCCAGCAAAGTAAGGGCCATTGTGTGCACTGGGTTCGGGCTGCCCCCCCCTGGGCTGCGGCAAAGGTCGAAACACCAAGGATTTGCGAGAGTCCCGATCTTCATGGATTTCGTCTTCCCCTCCGTTTCCACTATTTTCGCATATGTTTATGGAACTCTGCGTTTGGTAATGTCTGTGTCTATTTCTTCCCTCCTGAATCAATGCCGGGAGCGACAACCGCCCCTTCCCCCCCCTCCCCCCCCCTCCGTCCCTGATCGAGGTGAGCGAGTTCTCCAGCACCAATCCGGCGGGCATGGGCAGCGGATTGCCTCTCCCAGTTGGCGGTGAGCCAGGGGGGACGTGAGAGGGGGCAGGGCTTCTCAGAAGGCAGCGGGGTTTCTCAGAAGCTCTCGCGCCTGCCAAGACGATTTCTCTAAGACTCCTCCGAGGGCACAGAACAATTCTCAGACGGCGCGAAGGCTTCTCAGACGCCCCGCCGCCTTCCGAGAAGGCCTGCCCCCCCTCGCTCCCCCCGGGCCCGCCGCCGACCCCAGGTCACCACTCTGGGGGAGGAGCAAGCGGCATGGACACAAGCCCGAGGAGGTCCGCTCGGACGTCCAAACATTTATGCTCGTGCCGCTTTCCTTCGACCTTCGTCGCCGTCGTCGTCGTCGTCGCTCCAGTCCGGAGTCGTCCCTTCCCGCTCCGCCCCCGCCGCCGCGCTCCCCTTCGAGCAAGCTCAGGCCCCCTCTTGCGGCGCGGACGGACAGGAGCGCGACGAGCGGCCCTCCTTGATGTCGGCTCCACGGTGCGGTTTGTTCTGGGCCAGGGCAGTCAGAAGACACGGCACGCGGCGAAAAAGCTGCCCCCATGGTCAAAGGTCAAGCGTCATGGTGGCACACGCCATGGCAAACAATAACACGACGTCAGATCTAGGGTCCAGGGGACCTCCTAACATCCAATCAAACGTTGTCCCCCAACGATGGAACATATGGCTACCGCTGTCTTTGTCATTGTAGTCACATGCGGAGATTATGTTTACGTTCCTTCACTACGGTACTACATCTACCTCGTTGCACCACTGCCGTAACCAGGGTCGGACATTCTTTAGATCACAACAGCACAACGACATCGCCAGGCAAAGCATGCACGAGTAACCTCGACGTGCGGTGAGCCATAGGACAACGAAGCAAAGCACTTAAAAGGGCAAGACACTTGGATGTCCATATCAAACCACGTCGAGCACGTACCCTCAGGAGCCGGCGAACAAAACTAACTAAGGATGGGCCCGACAAGCAACAAAGTAAGGGCAACCATGCTAAAATGCTGCAAGTCTTAGAGATCCATTCCCGGGATCTGTCCTGGAACGTGTCCTTCCCCACCCCTCCCTTCGGATCGGCCCGCCCATTCTTTCGGTCAAAATGGGTCCCTGGACCTATCCTGGACTTCCCAAACAACCGATGCGGTAAATTTTCACAGCGGGGCTCCCCATAATTCTGGACCCCTTCCGGGGACAGATTTCCGCCCCAAGTTATTTAATGACGATCCCGGGGCCCTGTACGGTAAAAGCTCCTGGAGGACACAAACTGCCGAACACCTTCCGTTGCGATTTTTCAAGACGCGATGATGTTCATGGCTGGACCCCTCCTGGACGTTCTTCTGGCCCGTTTTCATTCCTCCTCGTGGTCCACCTTCAGACCAGGCAGAACTCTTCTCAAGAGCGACGTGAAGGTGGGGTCGGGCAACAGGATGGGTTGGACAAAATTGCTCTGGACAGCTCCAGAAGGAAGGAAACATCAGTCGCAACCTGGGTCCCTTTCCGAAGCCCCACCTTGGGCTCTTGGGCTGAAACCCCCTCTGCGCGGGGGGATGTGCAGGTGGGGTAGGGGCAGAGGTGGGGTGAGGGGAACATCGCTCCAGACGGCCTGGAGGGAGGGACTCTCGGCCTCAAGCTGGGTCCTCTCCCGAACCCCACCTTGGGTCAAGCCACAGACCCCCCGCCTGCGCGCCCTCGATCTCCAGGGGACCCAACCAAGAGAAGCCGACCCTGTGGGTGTTTTTGGGGGGACTCTGGAGGGCCTGCCTGGCTGGTGGTAAGTTTGCCCCCTGTCCCTTAGCGGGAGAGGTGGAACGCGGTCCTCCTCCTCCTCCTCTTCCTCTTCCTCCTCCTTCCTCCTAGTCCTCTCTCCTCCCTCCCTCCTCTCAAGCAACTTGGGCTCGAGATCCACTTGGGCATTTCTCGACGCCCAACCCTCCGTACTTTCCCTGTGGCGCTTGAGGGACACCGCACCGTCTGATCGCCCTTGTATCAAGCGTTTTCGGTGACCAGATCTGTTGGGTGTCACGAGCATGGTCCACATGCCGTGGTTGCGGACAGGGTGAGTAAACAGACAAACTTTCTTAGCTTGACCAACAATGCAGTCCATGCGGTCGGACAGTCAAGCTATATACTCCATCGCCGAAGAAGGCCGAGAAGGTTGCTGGCAAAAGCATCCTACAGCCACGGCTCGTTTTGATGATGAGGGTGGCCAGGGCAGCGCAATGGGTAGTCAATATTCGTCACCAGCATTGCTTCCGCGAGGCAGCCTGAGTGTAGCCCGTGTCCCCCTCCTGCAACAAGCACTGGCGGCCGCATCCGACAAGAACCTTAAGAATTGAGACGCAACTCGCCATGTTCAAATTGAAGCAGTCGAACACTTCGCCAGGCAATTTTCTTCAGACCCTCCGGAAGGCGGACGGAGCACTACGAGATGTTTCGAACCGACACGACCAAGCTGTGCGGGCAGTCGCACGATCGCAGAACAATCTAGAAGCCGCCCAGACCAACGGGCAGAAACTAGCCTTGGAAGTGGCGGAGGCAATGTTGAACCGCAAGAGTGTAGCAGCGGGGTGGCGTCCACGAAGCACGGCGGGTGGCAAGAACGCCCCCCTCATCAGTCTCCGAAGAAGCCTTTCGGGCTGCACTGGGGCGAGGCGCTGTTCGCCAACCTCGACAACGCCGACGGTGAGGGTACAACTAAGCTCGAGTTGAAGAGCATCCACCAACAACTGATCGACGCCCAAAGACGTTGGACGGCAAAGCCTCGCAGGTCACGGCATGGACAGGGCGGACTCGCAGTGTTCGTGGCGAGATGCGGGGCTGGCTCACCAAGAATGAGGAGGGCCAACGCCGACAGGAGCGACGGTACGGGCTCTGAAGGCGGCGAGCCAGGCGCAGGCGGCGCGGCGCGCAGCCAAGCGCCGCCAGCAGCTCCCGCAGCGCCCAACGCCGCCCGCAGCGATGGCGCGCGGGAGCGCGATGCGACGCTCGCCGTCGAGGCCGCCAGGATCCCAGGCCACGTTCGGAGCCCAGCGCAAGAAGGAACGCGAGAAAACCGACGAGGCTGCCAATGTCGACTAGAAGGATCCGCGACCGAGCACTCAGGTGCCAGACCAAGCTGGAGCCTCGGCCGCAAGGCATGTTGGCGCTGGCGCTCGCAGTCCAAACTCTATTTCTCCTGTGAGGCCAGCGCCAAGCAGCAATGCCACAACTGTTCCTGGGAAGGAAGCGCGTTTCGGGTCTTCTCGTGAGCGCCCAAGGGGGAATCATCTAACTCATATCTTGCACGGCAACATCGCTGCCGTGGGTGGCGAGGTGCGGCGATTCATCTAGCAGGCGTGCGAGAGGCACACTTGCGACGCATTTTGCTTACACGATCATCCTAGAATCGACGGCCCCCCAAATCACGCCAGTCTACCTCGAGGGCTGTCGCCAATCCCGCTCGGGGGCCGAGCGCGCGACGAAGGGGGGGGGGGGCCCACTGGGTAATTCCAGGCCCGCCCCCTCCTTCCCCAGCTTGCTCTTTTTGATTTTCAGGCCAGCGGCCAGCAGGCCGTCGACGAGTTCGCAGCAACAGCGGTCCATCATAATGGATGTTCCTTCGCGTTGCTTACGCTCCATGGGCATGCACCCCTCGAAACGGCAAGAGACAACGTCCAACGCTTCAATCGGTTCGGTTCGTTTCTTCCTACTTTGCAAGTGCCCTCGGGTCGTCGCCGGGGACTTGACTCTGCCAGCTTCCAGTCTGGCCTCCTCGGGGTTCCTCGCGAGGGTGAGCGGCGAAGTCGCGAGGCCCCGACCGAGTGCGCATGCCACTCGGAAAAAAGGACCTCAGTCGCATCGATGCTGTTGACAGGAGTTTATCTGCTGCGAGAGTGCGGGGGGTGAAAAGCGCTTTCCCCAGTTGCACTGCTGACGTGCCTGCCGACAGCGCCGGCGTGTGGGCCCAAGAAAGGTTTGCGCCCCCCTCCCACAGCAGCCGCGGCGGGCGAGAGGCAGCGATTACGGTTCATCGGTCGTTTCGACCGAGCTCTCCGAGGAGCCTCCACCTTGACACGCAGGAGGTGATCCAGGGAGGGAGCACGAGCGAGAACGGGGTGCTGCGTCCTCCCGTCTCTCGGCGGGCGCCTCGATGGCCGCGCCGCGGAGGGCCCGCCGGGGCGTGCGGATCGCGATGCGAGCTTCGGGCAAGCAGCTTCTCACTGGATGCCACGCCTTGCTCGCGCGGCTGCCGCTGGCTGCTCGGCCGCAGCGGGGGCCCGCGCCACGGTCGAAGAGTCAGCTCAGTCGCTGCAAGCCTTCCTTCCGCATGGCGCCCTCCGGCGAGAGGCCAGTCGAACATTGCGCTGACTTGCGCGGCGATTTGCGCCCCGGTGCTGCGCGTGACACATCGGTTGCGGCCGAAGCCAAAGTCTCGGGTGGGCGAAAGGGGGGGATAGCAAAGGGGGGTTTGAGAATTAGCTCACGTAGCTGATTTTCCCGGCGCCTCCCGGCGCCGGAGGCGGCTATGTATCGAGGAATGGGCCCCTCGGTGGGGCCGAAACCAGCTGCATGCAGCAAATCTCGTAACCCCCCCTTTCCTAATCCCCCCCTTTCGTCCGGCCCGAAAGTCGCGGCTGAGACAGCCCGTGAGCGCGATTCCGATCTCGAGCGCCAGTCTGTTCAGTGCGAGCGCGAATCCGAGAAGGCCTCTGGGCCCGAGAGCTGAACTTTTGCGGCGATTCCAAGTTGGAAGCAGGAGCTGCCGCGCACGCTGGCTTCCCCCTGGGGGCGGGCCGTCGGCAAGCATAACATTTCTGAGCCCAACCCTTAGGTCGGGCATGCCCCCCTACAGGCGGCTTTTGGGCAACAAATAAAACATAACCAACGAATGCTACAAAATTACGAAACATTCTCAAAGATCGTCCCTCGAATATTTCTTGACTATTTTTGGATATTCCCCCTGTAGAGGGACAGGCCCGACTTAAGCCCCCAAACCCTTCGAGGGCCAGGCCCGAGAACGTCCGGCTCCGCGAAGGCCGGCCTTTCGCTTGGAATTCCGACGCTCATATATTTCACTTGCCTCCTCCTCCTCCTGCTCCTGCTCATCCTCCTCCTGCTCCTCCTCCTCCTGCTCCTGCTCCTCCTCCTCCTCCTCCTCCTCCTCCTCCTTCTCGTCCTCCATTGCGCGCCGTCGATTGCGCGGGGTCTTGCCACTGCCGGTGCTCAAATATCGCCTCGCGAGCTGGAGCCCCCATCCCTGGCGTTTTTCAGGGGCCGACCCGCTCAGAGGAGGGCGCAAACAACGTTCGTCGTGCCGCTTTTCTTGTCCAGATGAGATGTGGGTTCCAGCTCGATCTAATGTTTGCTCTTCCCTGCCTTTGGTTGTCCCTCTCCTGCTGCTGTTGCTTCGTCCGTGGCCGCTCGGTTCGGGTCTGACAACATTGCGCATGCTTCGGCTCCATGCTCCGCGTGGACCACCTCGGTGGAACGGGCATCGCGGAGAGGCGGCGCCCCTGTCCATCGGCAGGGCGCGGGACATTTTTTTTGTAATGTAAATGGTCGATTGAACCCGGCGCGACCCCAATTAGAGGAACACTTCCTACTGCGTGGGTGCAGCGATTGGCATTTCTTATTGCTTAAAACGGGCACCGCAACCCGGGGGCGGGGAACCCGAAAAACCCGGGGAACCCGAAAAACCCGGGGAACCCAAAGAACCCGAGAAACCCGGGGAACCTGGGGAAGGAATCTGGGGAACCAGGAACCCGGGGATCCCGGGAAACCCGAGGACCCCGGGAAACCCAGGGAACTGGGGAACCCCAGGAACCCGCAGAACCCGGGGAAACTGGGGAACTCGGGGAACTCGGGGAACCCGAGGAACCCGGGGAACCTCCGAGGAACGGGCAACGTGAGAATCGGAGGCACCGAGGGCGAGGAACCTGGGGAACCCGAAGAATCTTCCTCCTCCTCCCTCCCTCCTCCCTCCCTCCTCCCTCCCTCCTCCCCTCCTCCCGCCCTCAGCCCTCCCCCCCCCCCGGCCAGACGACTGCGACTCCAGCACCGCCTTCGCAAGGCCGCCGGCGACGCACCCGCCTCTCGGGACAGACCGCTCGCCAGGCGAACGCCGCCGCGTCGCGGAGGGCGGCGGCAGTCGCAGCGTCGGCGTTCGTCGCCTCCCCCTAAAAGATCGAGGAGCTGTCCTGGCCCCAGCCATGATCCCCCCCATAACTCACCTCTCTCTTCCACGCCCCTGGCCTTCCTCCACTTCCAGCTCCAACTCCTCCCGCTCTTCCTGCAAATACGCATTACTGATACTACTCTCCTCTCTCCCCTGAATATGTCTGGAAGATAGTCGGCCCCCTCCGCGTCCTTTTGATCCACAGGGTTTCAAACGCCGATTCCCCGGAGTTTTTACATTCCGGTTGTTCTCGGTGCTTCAAAAAACGGTGCCTTCCGCTGCAGCATGGCCTCATTTTCGCATCGGCGCGTTGCTCCCATCGTTCAGATGGGCGCTCTCGCCCCAGCGCGGGCAACTTCTCCGGATCCGAATATGTGTTCGTCATTGTCGCCCCCCTCGTTTCCACTCCTCCACCTTCCCCAATGCCCCATGCTCCTCCCGCTCCTTCCACTCCAACGCCTGCTGCTGCTGTTCGTCCTCGTCCTCCTCCTTCCTCATCCTCCTGTTCCTTCTGCTCATCCACCACACCCTCCTCCAATGTACGCGCGTAACTCCCGTTTTTGTTCCCATTGCGCATGACAGGGAGGTCCGCTATGACACGCGTCGGCGGGTCGAGAAGAATGACAGTGCAATCCGAAGGGACGGGTGGGAGAGGTAGGATGTCAGATATGGCGCGAGCGCGCCTAGGTTGCCTCCTCCTCTCGCCCCCCTCCTCTCTTCTCCTTCCTTTTCCTCCCTTCTCTCCTCCTCCTCCTCCTCCTCCTCCTCCTCCTCAACCTTCGGAGATTGTGGTTTTCGTCGTGGCCGCAGCCGTGGTCGTCAACGCCAAGGCAGGCGGTGCCGCTGCCACCGCCTCTGCCGCGTTTGAGGCCACGAGCCTGGAGTCACCAACGCAGGAATCAGTCGCCAGAAGATCACTCATCGCCAGACGATCACTCATTGCGGCCGCTGCTTCGCAAGGGAAGAGGGAAGGAGGAGAGAGGAAGGAAGAGGGAGGGGGAGGAGGAGGAGCAGGGGGAGGAAGATGAGAAGAGAAGAGGGATGATGCTGATGATGATGGTGATGATGAGAACGATGATGCTGATGCTGATGCTGATGCTGATGGTGATGGTGAGGGTGATGATGATGCTGCTGCTGATGATAATGGGAACTCTTCCTCATGTGCATTTTCTTCTATATGATGCTTTGTGTGCCGAGGGGTGAAATGATCCCAAACGAACGCACAACTACAACGGCGAAGCCTGAGAAATCTTCTCCCCAGAAGTCTGTAGGGCCAGGGATACCAAGAGTTGCGCACGTGCGGGTCACGTGCGATGTGCGGGAACACTTTGAGCAGAAACTGTGGCAACGACATTGCATCGCACCCTTCCCACTCGCTCCCACTACAGTCGCAGACAAAACCACGAGAGCTCTTTCTCATGTGCAGACTTTTCTGTATAATGCTGTGTGTGCCGCGGGCTGAAAACGACTCCACACGAACGCACAACTACAACGGCGAAACGAGAGAAATCTACTCCCGACACCACTGCGTCCCGGGCCCATTTTATGCTCTCGGATTTCCGATCCGGAAGAAATCAATTTCGAATCGGAGACCGTTTGGTCACCGAAGCTGGCTAAGCCGACACACGGTAAAACCTGAGACGCAAACATCTCAAGACCGAAGACCGAAGACAATCCGAAACGACACAGGAACATTGAACTCACTTGGTGAGGGAGGACATCAACATGATACGACAGGGAGGAATGATGACAGCAGAACGGACGACGACGGTAACGATCATGTGCATCCAACGAGACTTGGCGGGGGGCAAGGCAACGGTGAGTGAATGATGATGCGATAGATGAAAGCACCAAGCAAGGATGCTTGACAAAGCGAGTCATGAAATGCTGAATGACGCATACAACTACAACGAAAAAACTCTCGGCCAGTTTACCGCGATATGCGTCAAGTGGAAGGGCAAGCGCCACAGGGGAGATTATGCTACCAGCTTTGTTTGCCCATCGCCCTTCTATTATGTTTGGGACATGAGGTAATGGCATCTAGCAATCCCCCCTCCAAAAGTCTCCTTCCCACAACCCAAGCACGGTGGCGGGATGGGCCGGAGGCCACTAGATCCGCCGCCCCCTGTTGGCTTGCCACAGGGGTGCCCGGCGTGCTAAACCCTCTCGGTTTGGGTTTGGTTCTTTTCCAAAAGAACTCCCCCTGGGGCTCCGGCGCGTCCCGCCGGCCACCCGGAAAGGCTCAAGGAGCTCAATTCCCCAATGTTTCGCTCAAGATGGCCCAAGATGGCCTCCAAGGAGTCCAAGATACCTCCACGTTCGCCCAAGAGGCCTTTAAGACGGCCCAAGACGACCCAAGAGGCCTTCAAGAGGTCCTCAAGGAGGGCCCGAAGAGGACAAAATCATTGAATTCCCGTAGGGTTTTGAAGGATTTTGACATTTGCTTCTTTTCGGCCTTCCGATGGCTCAAGACGGCCCAAGAGGCCCCCAAGATCGCCCCAAGATCAACCACGAGGCCTCTAAGATGGCCCCATGACTGCCCAAGAGGCCCCCAAGACGGCCCCAAGACGGGCGAAGAGGCCTCCAAGACGCCCATGATGGCCTTCAAGACGGCCCCGAAGCGCCCCCAAGAGGACCCCAAGCCGGTTCAGAGAGGCCCCAAAGACTGCTCCCGACGGCGTCAGACGGGCCAGGAACCCACCAAGATGACCGAAGTTGGCTCGAAGCTGGCCCAGGAAGACCCAAGAGGCTTCCAAGAGGGCCTCCAGGAAGGCCAGAAAAGAACAAAAACACGGATTTCCCGCGCAGGTTTTTGAAGGATTTTGACATGTGCTTCTTTTCGGCCTTCCGACGACCCGAGACGCCCCCCCCCCCCCCAAGACGGCCCCACGAGAGCCCAACGACTGCCCAAGAGGCCTTCAACATGCCCGAGAAAGCCTCCAAGACTGCCCTGAAGCATCCCGAGAGGGCCCCCAGTCGGCCCAGAGAGGCCCTCAAAACGGCTTTCGACGGCGTCAGACGGGCAAGGAGCCAACCAACACGGCCGAAGATGGCCCTCAGATGGCTCAGGACTGCCCAAGAGGCCTCCAAGAGGGCATCCAGGACGGCCCGCAGAAGCCAACATCATTGATTCTCCTTCGGTGTTTGACAGGTTTGTGTATTTGCTTCTCTTCGGCCTGCCGACAGCCCGAGACGACCCAAGAGCCCCCCACGAACCCCCCAAGATCGCCCCAAGATCGCCCCAGAACTGCCCAAGAGGCCCCCGGGACGGCCCCAAGAGGGCCCCAAGACGGCTCAATAGGCTTCTAACACGCCCAAGAAAGCATCCCAACCAGCCCTGGCGCATTCCGAGAGGGCCCCAAGTCGGCCCAGAGAGGCCCTCAAAACTGCTTCCGACGGCCTCAAGCGGGCAAGGAGTCCACAACAACGGCCGAAGATGGCCCTAAGACGGCCCAAGACGGCCCAGGCGGCCTCCAAGAGGGCCTCCAGGATCCAGCGCTCCCAAGGGACCCCCAAGAGAGCCCCAGGCGGGCCCCAAGAAGGTCCCAAAACTGCTCCCAAAACGGTCCCAAAACTGCTCCAAAAAGCTCCCCCAGAGCTCAAGAAAGGCCCCAAGACGGTCCCAAAACTGCTCCCAAAAATGCCAGGAAGACCGACAGAACACGACCGCGAGAGGGTGGAAGGGGGACCCTCTCACGAGACGCGCTCCCTGAGCCATCTCCGCGAGCGCGCTCGCCTTGTTACGCAGCCCCCCCACCCTTCCCACACCCCGTCCGTCCGACCCCCTCCTGGCCCCCCGCACCGAGGGAAAGGGGAACGCGGGCGCCCACCTGCCCCCGGGTAGGACCCCCCCCCCCGGGGGGCACGCGTCGCGCGCTTGACCCAAAATGGCCACGCCGAGGGTCAAGTTTCCCCCCCCTCCGCGCTCGACTCTGTCAGCTCCGCAAGCCCGTGCCCGACCCAACCCAAAGCCGGGACAGGCGAAACCTCAAGACGGTCCCAAAACTGCTCCCGACAGCTCCCCCGGAGCGTTCCACGAAGGCTTCGCGAGGCGGCTTGTGTCTTCGTCTTCCTCTTCCTCCCCTCGCCCCCCCCGCGGGCCCCGGGGATGGCCCGAAGCGGTCCTCCGAGGCCACCCCTCTGCCGCCAGAGAGTTCCTGTGTTCATCCCGGCTGTCCGCTGCGTTTCCCTATATTGAAAGGGGCCCTGGTGCACAGAACTGAATGCACACATCCCAGGAGTCCCCATATTTTATACTATTTTCTGGATTTTCGTTTTGCCCCCCACTTCCCATATTTTCGTGGGGCGATTAATTGTGTCTGTGTGTTTTTGCCCTCCTGATAAATGACTATATGTGTGTCTTCGTTCGTTTCCCCGCTGGCTCTCATGGGCAACGTTTCCGAACGGGCTGGTGGAATACGCGATGCGTTTTTTTCCCCACATCCAAAGTGGGGTTCTTGTTTTCTCTGCACACCCCGCGCAGGAACACTCACCCCACCCCATCTCCTCTTCTGCCTTCGCACACTCACTCACTCACTCATCATCACCACCACTCACTCACACTCACACTCACTCACACTCTCTCATCATCAACATCAACATCATCACTCGCGCTCTCTCACACGCTCAGTCACTCACATACTCATCATCATCATCATCATCATCATCATCATCACCATCACCATCACCATCACCATCACCATCACCATCACCATCATCATCATCATCATCATCATCATCATCATCATCATCATCATCATCACTCGCACTCTGTGACAAGCTCACTCATTCACATACTCACCTGGAGGAAGTCTCAGGCGGGAGCTTCGTCTGTGAGTGAATTGTGAGGAAGTCTCAGGCGGGAGCCCCCTCCTTATGGGGCCCGCAGATCATGTTGGTAATCCGAGCGGGTCGTCCAAACCGTGTAACTGTCGTCACTTTTGGGCTCCTCAAGCTTGAGTACGGAGGAAGTCTCAGGCGGGAGCCTCGTCTGTGAGTGAATTGCGAGGAAGTCACAGGCGGGAGCCCCTCCCTATGGGGCCCGCGCTTCATGTTGGTAATCCGGGCGGGTCATCCAAACCCTATAGCTGTCGTCACTTTTGGGCTCTCGCGCTGCCAAAACGCCACTCCCGGGCCACATTGTGCATGCCCGGAGCCAACTGTACGCCACTTCGTGTTCTTCGTGTTCCCAGAACACCATTCCCAGGCCACACTTTGAAACCCCGGAGCCAACTGTAGGCCACTTCGTGTTCTTCCTGTTCCCAGAACACCACTCCCGGGCCACATTCTGGATGTCCGGAGCCAACTGTAGGCCACTTTGTGTTCGTCGTGTTCCCAGAGCGTCATTGCCGGGCCACATTTGTGAATTTCGAATCCGAGGAGGGTCCTCGGAATTCGTATGCCTGTCGTCACTTTTGGGTCCCCGCGGCCTGAACATGGCTGTCATGGGCCTGCTTGCTCCAAAGGGCGACTGAAGAGCTGACGACGACGACGATGGAGATCCAGCGCGCCATCAAGGTCTTCTCTCAGATCCCCTGCGTCTTCGAGCTGAAGGGCACGAAACGCTTCGAGCCTGGGGACCCGCTGATCACGTTCCTGGGCTGCACGCGCGAGGGCAAGCCCTTCCCACCGGAGGTCTGGTCCGCCTGGGAGAAGACGTTGGCCACGGACAACCGCGGCGTCCTGGACCCTCGGCACCAGCACGATAACTTTCGGCTCGGCTACGGCATGGGCATCTACTGGGAAACGCTTGCGAAGTGGATGAACACGCGTGCTCGTCGCGACGCTCGGCGTCTGGGCGTGCCCCTTGTTTTCCTGCAGGCCGTTGACGAATGCGGCACGATTCGGGGCGATCCCGACGCGGGTCGGCGCCTCCTGAACGTCCCGAACATGCACAAGACGGGGGACATCCACGGCGTCTTGCCGGCCCACGTCGGCATGGAGGTGCGGTTCACGGCAGCGCAGGAAGAGTTGAAGAAAAAGTTGGGGCTCGTGCAGGAGCAACGGGCCACCATCGTGTCTTTCGAGTTCCACCACGAGGACGAGCAACGGCACGAGGAATGCTCGGCAGGCCAGCTCTTTCGCCCCCGCTTCCTACCGCAGGGAACCTGGTTGCAGGTGCACGGCTTCAAGGAGTCTCCGATCTACCAGGAGGTCGCCGAGGTGCTGCGACAGGGCGACGAAAACGCCGACGACGACGGCCAGGCCGAGGCGCGGGCGCGGAGTTTGCTGATGTTCAGGCCCAGCG